GCTTACGTACACAATTTTTATAATATCAAGATCGGCTATAAAATGACATTATTGTATCTTAGGTTTGAACTTCGTTAATACGCACACAATTCTGAAAATATCAAGATCGGCTATAAAATGACATTATTGTATCTTAGGTTTGAACTTCGTTAATGCATGATGATGAATATATATAGTATAGTATCTAAAATATCACATGCATTCACGGGGTAGAACATGCAGTAGAAGATATGATGGTAAAGACTAGATATCCTAAATTAACTAAGCCGGTAAATAAAATCAAATTATCTTGACCAAGCAAATATATGGAACACGGAGGCTCACTAAGGATGTTTTTACTTGAACTGTAATTTGTCCCAGACCAGACCAGACCAGATCAGACCAGACCAGATCAGACCAGACTTGGATAGTTATAAAAATACAAAGAAACCAGACCAGGCCAGACCAGACCAGTTCAGACCAGACCAGACCAGATCAGACCAGACCAGACCAGCAAATTACAGTCCAAGTAAAAACATCCTAAAGTGCATGTTGGTGTGATGAATGATCAAAATTCATTAATTTAAAATACTTAGAAGATCATATATTTTCTCTTAAATCATTTGGGACAATGAAATATGAGTTCCGGTGAAACTCTTTGTTTGATCGAGAACTCTCTACTTTCATTCCAACAGAAAATGTATATTACCATTCCCAAAATTCATTAATTACTCGACATTTTCAATAAATTCAACCAGTCCTGGAAAATTAATTTCTTCGAATAAAATAAAAAATTAGGAGCACAGGAGTCAGAAATTTAATTTTTAATTTATCCGGATAAAAGTATCTATTATATCCGGTATTTCGGTATAACATTTTCATTCAAAAGTTTAGTGCCAAAATGCATTAGTATTCTAATCATGGTCATATTAAGAGCATAACCAATGCACTAGTTTATAGTCTCAATAAATTGTGCCAAGTGTCAAATAAAGGGAAAACAGTCAAATAGGTCCTCGAACTTTCATAAAAAAGTCAATTAAGTCTTTCTATAGGAGACTCTGTCCAGTCGTCGCGATTTGGGGCGGTTTCAGGTGGAATTTTTTGATGAAATTTTTTGAGCATCTTATTCATCAAGTCTAGTTTACTCATACCAAAATTGAGCTAAAAATTTAATCGGGAGCGCATTCAATTTAATTCGAGAACGCAAAAATGCGCAGTTATCTTCAAGAATTAATTTGAATGTGTTCCCGATTGAATTTTTAGCTGAAATTTGGTATGATTAAACTAGACTTGGTGAATAATATGCTCAAAAAATTTCATCAAAACATTCCACCGGGAACTGCCCCAAATCGCGACGGCCGGACAGAACTTCCTATAGAAGGACTTAATTGACCTTTTTATGAAAGTTCGAGGACCTATTTGACAGTTTTCCCGTCAAATAAATAAAAGACTTTCTAATACACATACTTGAAAGTGTATTGACACTAGATATTAAACTACCAAAGGAATCTCCAATGCACAAATATCACGGACTAATTTGGTGTCTACATTGGTAAATTATAATTCTCCTCACCACTCCACTAACCGCACAGAGCTACTGAAGATTACATTTCTCCGGCAGCAATTTCATTTATATTCCTTTGATTCCTCCTATATATTGATATACATAAAAGATTTGTTTATTCTTGCAATTAAAAGAAGAAAACAATTAAAATCAAGCAATTGCAGGTACAACCAAATTAAAATCAAATCTGACTAAATAAAGAAATTAAACTCTTGATCGACATTTTTTTTAGCCACAAAAGAAGTTAAAACTAAATTATTAAATCACATATGAAATAAAAACGACGGATTACAGAGTATTAAATTATTAATGTTATTGGCCTTTTTATTTGAATATTACTAAACGAAAGACAAAAGACAATTATATGACTATGTTTAAAATTTTCTACAAATGTGATCATGTTTACCGTTTACGGAATTACGGAGTATCATTAATACTCTTTATTTAATCCCATATCACATTTATTGTTTAAAAATACATTTTTAACAGCAGGCTAACTAAAGCTGTCATCCAGCCTCGATCTACCATTGCCGGTCTGCTCCTCCCCCTGCCGCCAGTCCTCTGTCCCTGCCGCCAGTCCTCCGTCCCTGCCGCCGGTGCTCCGTTCGCCGCTGCCGGTGCTCCGCCTGCCGCCCACTGACGACGGTGCTCCGCTGCCCGCCGCCGATGATAGTGATTAACAAGAAATTTAAGAAATTTAATGCACCGCCGGCACCACCATTGCACCTCCGTCGCCGCCTCCTCCTCCTCCACCAGTCACTAAACCAGTGACTCCCAGTCACTAAATAGTTACTTCCATCCAACTCAGTGACGGCCACCCAAATCCAGTCACTTGCTCAGTGACTTCCGGTCACTTACGGATGACAGCCACTCAACTCCAGTCACTAATCAGTGACTTCCACCTGCTGTGACAGCCACCTCCCCACCGCCTGGCCGGAGGCGGCCGATGACCAGTCCTTGCACCACTGCCCCCAACCGACCAATACCAGACCCACTGCAGCCTCCCTAGCCCGGCCACGACCCCACCAGCCCTACCACCGCCCCATCGTAACCCTAGCCGCCGTCACCATTCTGGATCTAGATCCGAAAATCGCACCTTTGACAGATCTAATAGTTCAACGCCCCTTGGACCGACTCTGTCTGAATCACATCGTAGATGGTGGTCCAGATCTGCTGTTGCCGAACCCTAGCCTCCATGTCATTGAAGCCATCGCCATAGATCCGACCGTTGTCACCATCGTCCTCGGCCAGAGAAAGGTGAAGAAGACAACAAACCTAGAGGAGATGGTGTGGGCTGCGGCGCGCGGCTCCAGGGAGGCGGCGACGGGGTTGTGGACTCGATGGGAGGAGGTTGACGATGGAGAGGGACAAAAACCTGGCGCGTAAAGTTGCAAAATTGTGGGGAGCGTTGAAAAGTGAAGACCCGTATCTGCAAATGGGAGGTCACTTTTTGGGGAAAAATTAAGTTGGTGATAATTTTAGAATTGAAAACTCATGGAGTATTATTAGTGCCATTTTTTCAATGTTATTTCATTATCATGAAATTTAAATCTGACCAATCACTTAGCTTTGTAGGAGTTCTTCTATTGCGTGAATAGAGGTGATTCGTTCATCTATTGCGTGGTTTTCTGAAGAGAGTCCCTGGTTTTTCTGACTCAGCATGTGTACGAGCTTTTCTATACTCGCACTTCTATCTTGACAGCGTTCAGTTTTTTATTTGCCATATCACCAAACCCTTCTTATGGACTTTCAAAATAATTAGTCCAAGTTTAATTTAATGATGTGACAACCCTTATCTAGACTAGACATCACCCTATTGGGATGCTCTAATTATGGAGTATATATATGCATGTGCGCAAAAAAATAGCTCATTTCGCGTAAAGGGACTCAGCAATGAAAAAGAAACGCGCAAAAGGCCTTTTTTTTTCTCATTTCAGCTTTATTGTGTAATGTAAATGTCATTCAAGCAACCCATAATCAAATACTCCATAGGTAGTACTCCGTAATAAATACTTGTGCTTTCCACACTAGCCGTACGTAAGTGTATGTGTAGACTTATCAAACTAAGAGTGCCTTTCCTAATCTTTTTTTCAGCTTATCAAACTTCGCACCCAGTTTTTTCACCAAATACGTTATTTTTTATTTCACGCGCTGAATTTTGTAATAGTACTACGTAATACTCCCTCCGTCCCCGAAAGAAGTTCACCATTGCTTTTCACACATATTAAGGAAACAAATTTACTGAGGGGTAAATTTTACTGTTTGGACACTGTTTGGTACTGTTTGATATAGATAATTTGCCAAATAAGGAAATGTGAACATAATTCAGGGACTACCCAAAAAGGAAATGGTGAACTTGTTTCAGGGACGGAGGGAGTAACATAGAAAAAGTAAGACTCAAGTTACATTTCTACCTGTATTGGCTGAAATTACTGTAGATGATCATTTCAGCTATTTTTCCAAATAATTTTTTATTTTATTTATTAAGAACAAATGTTTTAATTATAATTTTTTCATATATCATCAGAAACAGCCAATACAGCTATTTCATCCAGAACTTCATAAATTTTAGCAGAATCAGTCAATTCAGTTAATTTCAGTGTTACCAAACGGGATCTAAAGTAAAAAAAAAATTATTCATCTTCCCATAATATTTAAGTCGTTTAATAGGTTTGTTGGGGTTCATAAAATCACCAACAAGGTTCATGTTGAAACTTTTTTTAATTGATCAGAGTATCAGACTGAGGTCATTTAAAATGATTTTTAAGAAAGACCACTACGGTTTTTATCACATATCAAAGCTCAATTAGTGCCACACAAAATACTTTTCCAATTTAAATATTGACTAGCAAGTTTTTATTTTAGAAATTGCCCTAAATAGGGGTAAAAACGTTTTGAAATTCCAAAATAGGAGTATCATATTTTTTATTCCCTAAGTAGGAGTAATATGCAAAGTTTGGGAAAATATGCCATGTTTAAAGCCTTGTAATACCAAACTTGGCATAAATTTACTCATATTTAGAGAATAAAAAATATAATACTCCTATTTTGGAATTTCAAAACATTTTTACTCCTATTTAGAGAATTCTCTTTTTATTTTTCAGCATTGTTCTTATGATCGAATTGAAGCACAATTAATATGTGACTCACAAATAGAATGGTAACCAATGAGATATGATATCATAAATCTAACCAATGAGGTAAGAGTCAGATTGGTACTGGAAATTGCATAAAAAGAGTCAAATAAGTCCTTACTGTCCGGCCGTCGTCATTTAAGGCGGTTCCCGGTGGAATTTTTTGATGAATTTTTTTGAGCATCTTATTCATTAATTCTAAATTACTCATACGAAATTTCAGCTAAAACTTCAATCGGGGAGGCATTCAAATGAATTCTTGAAGATAACTTCGTTTTTATTAATAAAACACAATTATTAATAAAGTGGTTGAAAAGTAAAAGTTGTTGAAATTTTGAGCATAAAAATGAAATATTGTAAACCATATACGTAGTATTTCTTTTCAAAAGGAGAAATGTAACACTTATTTTGTGACAACCCAAAAACGAAAACAGGACAGGTAAAACAGGAGGGATGAAGTATTTATGAAAGAACATTATTAGGTTTATTAGTGCCACACAACATAGTTTGTCTATTTAAATATTGACTAGTTTTTGTTTTTCAGCATTGTTCATACCGGATCACAATTAATAAGTGACATACAAATAGAACAGCAACCAATGAGATGCAATATTGTAAATATATCACAACTCAAAGCAAGGAAATTATTGTTTTGTTCTTTCTCGAACACCATACAAGAAACATACTCCATACTACCTCACTCTAGATCCCTAAAATCAACATTCAGTCTGCATTGTGATTTTTGCGCTATTGATCGTCACAAATTCACCGTCGCACTTTGGTACCAAAGTAACTGAAATACTTCTCTCACTTTCAAGCCCCAAGTCTTCAAGTAGCTCAGTTATGGCAGAGTCATATGAGATTTTCATGGATTTATCGGGATCGGTATGAATGTGAGCCAAGTTGGAGAAACTCCCAACGTACTCGGCCCGATCCAACTCGGTCGCCTTACACTCATTGTCTTCATTCAGAAACACGTCAAAATTAATGTACTTGGTTGGATCATATGTTATGCCCAGCTTCAATATCTCATCCTTGTCTTCCTTGTCTTCCTTTGATCTTACTAAAGTTGGCCTCATCACAGTAAATGTTATAGTGTGTGCTAAGGTTGTTGGTAAGATCTTACTGGCCGGTGGGAAAGATTTTTTGGTGCTTTTCAACACTGCCTTCTTTTTCGGGGGCGGTCTACATTTCTCCCATAGTGTCGGCATTGGCTGGCAGAAATTAACAACCAAACTCATAGTGGTGTACTCTAATGTGAATTGTTTAAAACTTTATTTGTCATAAAAAAATGCATACAAATGAATGAATGAAAAAAAACCTTCTTGTTATTCCAAAACTTTCAACACTTGATGCATATATGAGATGATACCACAAAGACAATAACAATAATAATGGCACGCATATATTGGGAATGTAAGAACAAAACAATCACGTAAAGTGGAATCCCTGAAAAGAGATCAACTGTGTTCTCTTCATCCGAAAATAGCCACTCGATCAGTAGAGGTCTCACATAGTTAATTAAGAGCATGTATGTATGTGTTAGAGACATAGGTGGATCAAGGCCAGGGGAGGGCCAACATAGGCCCTAGCTAGTCCACCCCAAATTTACAAAATACCTTGACTTTTGAGGTAAAAAAATTTCAAAAAGGTTTTTTGTACCGACGGAGTCCATCCCAGTGCCCTAGCTCGGCCTTGGTTAAAAAATGTGGTTATTTTACATACTAAATGATACCATACACTTTTGAAGATATATAGGTTCATTGCCATAAAATTTAATAACTGGAAGCAAATTAAATACTTTAGCTAGAATAGCATGCATATGCTATCACATAAACTATATGGTATGCATGCATGTTAAAATGTATGTACCTGAAAAGTGTAACCAAGTTTGGTTTCATCAAGACAGTCTTGAACCTTGACCTTAACAAGATTTTTGTTTTCATCATAGAAGAGGAACTCAGATTGCAGATAATCGGGATCAGAGCAATCGCGACGCCGCTTGCCAGGCAAAGTCTTCCAAATGGACCACATCCGGTCAACATTCCCATGGTGGCAATAGAAAAGAGGGTCATTAGCTGCGGAATAGAAGTTACCCATGTCCTCATGGTGATCCTGGTCGCGGTTACCAACCCACAGGTGCATGGCGGTGTGGGCACCGCTCTCTATGCTTCCACCGCCTGATTCATTATCGTAACCCTCCGCTCGGAGAACATGGCCGAAGAAAAGTGATGGGCTCCGCGTGCCCATCATCTGGCGGTACATTATCGCAAGATTGTTCCTCACAGTTCGGAGATCGTTTTTGTGATCCGGGTCAGCACTGTCTTTACCGTAACTTAGGTCCACGACGTATTCTTTGGTGTTGATCGTGTCACGCTTTTCAGGATCGTACAACGAAGATGACGGGTCGTCGAAGATTTCTGGGATATACATGCCTTTTGGGTTGTCCCAGTTCCAGTACGGCAGGGTGAACGTTGGATCATTGATCAAGGATTGTAAAATCCTCTCGTGGAAGTATAGGTACCTAAAATTACCATATATAAGTTTGGATTGAAAATTCTTCGCCAATTAAGTATTTTCATTGGTTGAAAATTATAAAATCCCTCGACTAGTTCTAATAAACCTGTGTTTGGAAAACCTCGGCTCTATATGTGATATTTTGCCTCAAAGTTCTTTAACTTTAATTTAGTTTTTGTAAATGGATTGATTCCTCTTCTCAAATTCATGATTTTTCTTTAAAACTTGATATTTCTTTAAGTTGAAAACTTGATTTTTAGTTGTTCCTCAAATCGACATACAAAAATTATGCATGGGTCATGGCTGCTAATGGATTTGCAGATTATGTTGGGATTTGATTGAAAAAATGTACTCCGTATTGTTTGTTGTTTGAGACTTTGAGTTTATTATTTGGAGTCAAAAGTGTTAGTTGGAGTATTTTTAGAAGTCAGTAAGTTTGGCATTGAAAAAAAATACTTTAATGTGTTTTTTACTAGTATTAATAATTATCAGGTTTTAGTGACCAAAAAAATTTTAAAATAAAATTAAAAGATGGTAGTTGTTTGATTAAAAGCTGACTGTTCAACTCTGTTTGGTATACAAGCTGTTGGGACAAATTAAAGCTAGAAGCTACATACATTTTCCAGATGCTACCCACTATAGCTTCTCAAAAAAGATCTTTTATTTTTAAAAAGAAATCCTAAAATTTGTAATGTCAAACATTTAAAAAGAAACTTTTTAAGACTTTTTAAATAGTACAAAATGTATAAGACATAGACGTATGCCTATCAAACATGCCCTAAGTCAAAGAATTAACTTGTTGCTTTACTTTATTTGTAGTACTTGGCATTGCTAGGTTTTATACATGGCAATTTTTCCAAACTTGACATAAATTACTCTTATTTAGGGAATAAAAATATGAAAGTCCTAATTTGGAATTCCAACACATTTTTACTCTTATTAAGGACAATTTGTATCTAATTTATTTGTACCACTAAATCTCTTTGCTCTGCAAGGATAATTTTGGAAATCCAACTTTTATTTTTTTCCCTATTCAGGAGTTAGGATGTGTTCAATTGGACTGAAATTTGCTGGTTTGGTAGAGTCTGATTAATCTAGTTTGGTCTGTTTAAGTTTGGTGTGGTCTGTTTTATTATATTTAAGGATGTTTTCTTTTGGATTGAAATTTGCTGGTCTCGTATAGTCTAGTTTGATCTGGTCTGATCTGATCTGTTTAAGTCTTGTCTGATGCGGTTTGGTCTGAACTGGTTTTGTCCGATTTGGTTTGGTAAACGTGAAGTCCCTGTGTATTTTATGATAGTCGAAGTCTGATCTGATCTGGTCTGTTCTGTTTAAATCTGATCTGGTCTAATCTGTTTAAGTTTGGTATGATCTGATCCAGGACTGAAAATAGTCCAAAAGAAAACATCTTAAGTCTTGTCTGATTTAGTCTAGTTAAGGTTTTTTCTTTGTGTTTTATAACTATGAAATTTTGATTTGTTTAAGTCTAATATGTCTGATCTAGTCTAGTTTATTCTATTTTACTCTTGTCTGGTCTTAACTAGTCTTCTTTAGTCTTGGTAAGGTTTGGTGTGTTCTATAACTTTGAAATTGTGATTTGCTTAAATCTTATCTGATCTGATCTATTTAAGTAATCTGGTGTGATCGGATCTAATCATGAAAAAGTCCAACGAAAACATTCTTAATTGGGGGAGTAAATTATGAGGGCATGCAAAAAACGTTAACTTTGGCACTTTGTCACTAACTAATTAATTTAACGGCCAGCTAACAGCTCAAATCTTGAAATTAAACGGGGTAGAACAAATACGAAGTATATGGAACAATAATTATGGATTTTGATTTAGAATCTTAGTTATTTCATGCAAAAGTAATAATGATGCTACACTTTGAATAATCTTAACTCATTACTCGTATTTGATACATAGTACTACGAACTTGGAATACGAAGTACTACCTCCGCCCCATTTATATTGGGACGGAAGAGAGTGACACAGTTATTAAGAAAAGTGGATTTGTGTGATTCATATTAATTAATAAAGTAAGAATAATGTAAGAATTATTTAGAGTCACACAAAATTTGTCAAATATAGTATGGGACAATTTAAGTGGACTTCCCAAAAAATAAAACGGGACAATATAAATGGAACGGAAGGAGTAGTACACTAGTACATAATAACAGTACCGAGTATTAATTAACCAACTTTATTACACTACTTCTGTCTCATTTCTTTAGACATTATACTGTATTTGACTATTTTGGTTAAAGATTATAAATTCTAATTAGTTATTTTAATCAAGGTAACAATTCTGGTACCTTTCTAAAAACAGAGGTACCGTACCTAACATTCATTTGATTGGACCACATCACTTTATCAATTTTAATTTAGATTTAAATAATTCAGCTGCTACCTTTTTATTGGTCCATGTGCACAAAGGTACGGTACCTTATGGGTACCATAGAAACTACCTTTAATCAATGTGTTTATGTGAAACTTATTAAATCTATAATTTAATTATACTACGTAGTATTTCATAAAAAGAAAATTTTCATACGTAGTACGGAGTATCATTTTTATAGTATTAATGTATAATGATAAAATAATCAAAATGAATGTCAAAATTAACTTTAGGAGTCAAAATTAACTAGATAAATATATAATGATCAAAATTTTAGATCATTAAGATCAAATTAAACTAAATAAATGGGACGGAAAAAGTACTACTCTTTATTCACTTGTCAAAAATGATATGATAAGCTTTAAAAGAAGATATAGCCATACCATCTATGGAAGGGGAAGAATAGCCATGAGTTGTGGACCTGATAGGACGTCACACCATCTGCAAGCTTATAGGCCTCGTTACAGTAAGCGCAGTGGACCTTCGCTTGAGCGGTCCAGCTCCGGGGATCTTCCGGCGGGAGGTCCCTCATTTTCTGAACGGCGGTCTTGTACTTCTCCAAGTACTCCGCGTCCACGTCGTGCGCCGCCGGCCTTACGTTCAGCGTGGAGAACTTCGGGAGCTTGTAGTCAACAATGGTGTCGGAGTAGGGAGGGCAGCAAGAATAGGGCACAGGATCACTGGTTCCCGAAATGATAGCTGTGCCGCATTCTTTAATGACCGGGGGAGGGACCGGCTTTGCCAGCGCTCCGCCGCCGGAAAGGGATAGGTTGTAGGCGCCGTAGAGGCCGCCAAGACCTAGGAGAACATTTCTCCGGTCAATTGTCGTGTCCGGAGAAATGTTCTTTTCCGGCGCCGGGGTTTGGTCTTTTGACGAGGAAGCAGCGCATGAGAGCTTGCTGCGGCGGTGCTTGGGCGGGTTTGGGTTGAGTGAGAACTTTGAAGGTCTGTGAAGGTGGTGGGAGTTGGAGGCGGAGATGGGGGTGGTGGTGGTGGTGCATGAAATTGTAAACGTAGCTGAAGCCATAGTTTGCTGCTAGCTAGCAAAATCAGTATGGTGGAGAACTAGACTTATATTTTAAACGTGAGGAAGTATCCATATATATAGGCCAGCCAGCTAGGTAGGTGAGTCGGTCACACGAGTATACGTACAATGACCAATAGGAATTAGGTAAGTGAGGGTTTTCTATAACTAGATTCTATGGTACCCATAAAGTATCGTACCTTTGTTCACATGGACCAATGAGAATGTAGTAGTTGAATTATTTAAATCTAAATTCAATTAATAATGATAAGTGATACTCATAAGGTACCATACATTTGTTCAAATGGACCAAGGAGAATGTAGCAGTTGAATTATTTAAATCTAAATTAAATTAATAATGATAAAGTGACATGGTTCAATCAAATGAATAATATGTACGGTACCCCATATTTTAGAAAGGTACCGGAGTTGTCACCGTTCTTCAATAGCCTTTGTACGATATTTAAGAGTGAAATAATAAGGGTAATGAATATCATAGAAAAAGTATAAAAGCGTATAAAAGTATGGAAAAAAGAGAGATAAAAGTAGAAAAAGTAAAGTTTGTTGAATATTTTTAAACGAAAAACTTACCAAAAACAAAAATTGTAGCAAACTTTTAAATACATCCAGAAAGGGAAAGTGTAGGAAACATTTAAATTTATGCAGAAAAAGAAAGTATAGCAAACTTTAAAATACGAAGAGAGTAATTATAAACACGATTTGTACATTTTTTGGAGGAAATTCCTAATTGTGTTAAAGTATTTGTATCAAGTACGGAAAGTTATAAAATACGGAGTAATACATAGTAACACATTATATACTATAAGATTTTGGATTAATCATCTTTTCATGTTAACCTCGTAGGATGAACCGTTAGATTTTAGTAAGTCACTACTGTACGCAGACACTTGTTTAGTACGTAGTAATAGTTTGGAAGGTGACAACTCCGGTACCTTTCTAAAAACAGAGGTACCGTACCTACCATTCATTTGATTGGACCACATCATTTTATCAATTTTAATTTAGATTTAAATAATTCAACTGCTACCTTTTCATTGGTCCATGTGGACAAAGGTACGGTACCTTATGGGTACCATAGAAACTACCAGTTTGGAATTGTTCGTAGTTATCGAAGAACTAATCCGATTCCTTTTGAGTGTGAGATCAAATTTGATGAGAAAGTGAATCGAAGCAGAATGAGGCCTTGATTGAAAGTTGAAACACAATAGTTCCAAAAACTCACAATGATGACTACAAATATACTCCTTATAAGTTCTGTTTATATCTCACTAAAGTTTTCAAAGTGAGTATCATGAGTTAATTACCATGGAGTTGTATTGGTTTTCATAAATTGTAGGAGTACTACGTAGCTAGTAGATATTTGTAAAAGTGAGTACAATAATAGAAAAAAACCTCTCCTTTTCAATTGCTTACATAATCAAGCCATGTTTAGCCACTCAAAAACAAATTATTTAGTTCAATCCGTTGATCCATTTCACGCAAATTAATTTATCATTAACACACGAGCTGAAGATGTAGTTACATGCTCATCGCACTACTGTACTGTACGTAGTTATTACATACTCAGTATTCCCTATACTTTTAGAAATTGCCAAATCAACATACTTCGTATATGGATATTAAAGTACAATGATAGGAATGGTAAGTTTACTTTCAATAATTACGAACCCGGCCAAGTGGCCAAATGACCTTAATTTATATGGCAACTTTGCCACATAAGGTAGTCGTCGGTCATGACTGTATTTAAACTAAATCAACTAAATACTATTCCTACTTCTATAACATCATATTAAAAATAAATTATTTATAGTTGTATATTTTCTACACTTATTCACGTCGTTTTTTAGATTTGAAATGGGAAAATTAATTTTACATGTAATAGTCTAATATCTATTAAATTAGGAATATGTCTAATATTTATTTACGAATATTTTGTATTTTGGCAATTCTTCTATCATAAATATATCTGTCTGTGATCCTATTGAAGTATTATTTCCCATTATTTCACAAATATTGTGAAATAATGGGAAAGGTTACCCACCCAATAGGGTACCTGACAGATATATTTATAATAATGAGAGTTTCAAAAAATACAAAGTATTCCTAATTTAATACTCGTATTAGGCTATTACACCCCCTCAAACTGTGCGGGAGATACAACGCGCAGGTTGTGTTGAAAAAATGTGTGAAAATTGCATTAAATGATAATTTTGGGGCAATATTTGAGTGGGGTCCACTTCCGATTTGGGTCAGGTCAAAGTTGTTTCGGATTGACCTTGTTACGGACTACAATTCGATATATATATGGTACACTCAAAATGGATAACGGGTGAATGAAAAATTGATTCTTGAAGTTTACCCGTTAGAATGGTAAAACTGGGAAAAAGAATGAGTTTCTAGTGTGCTATTTCCGACACCGGAAAACCCAAGGGATTTGCAACCCCTTATAAAGGGAAGCCCCTTTTAAGGAGTTAAGATTCCTAAGGTGAAGTGCTCTCTCTTGCGCGATGGGGGGGTGCGAATCAAATCCCGAAACGAAGAAGAAAAATCGCGACTTGCGGACACGAATGTCGTCCAAAAATCTATCTTTCAAAGATACGATTTAATTTTTGTTTCTTCCTCTAACGTTTTATTTTTCCCAGAACTAGAAGTGCTACGGAACAGAACACCTTGTTGGTGTTCTGGTGGGGGTATTCTGTCACGCAGCTGAACTTCCGAACCGTTACAACATGCAATAAATGTCAAATGTTCTTATGCCTTTATGCAGCGTTAAATGGACCATTCATGGACGATTCAATGCCCAACGTCCTAGTCATTGATGTCCAGCGTTCATGTCCATTAATACATCATTAACACACAACAAATCCTCCTATAAATAGCTGACAGGTGCTTTGCAACGACACATGCAATCATACACGAACTGCACATTTTCTTAAACTCAAAAACACCTCCAGCTACTTCCAAAAATTTCCTGGGTGTTCTTGCTTCGTTTCCATTCGCTAGAACTTTTGTTTGGGTGCTCAAACAATAGTTCGTAGTCATCGATCGTATCCTGGGAAACGATTCTTGCAACGCTCCTAGCACCGTGGGAGGCAACGAATACGTTTTAAGGACATCGTGCGTAGCACGAGCTTTGACTAATTTCTGCTCCATCTATTTTCTGTTTTTCTTTCGTCATTTTAATTAATTTTTTTAATTAATTTTTCTTTATTTTCCGAAACACACTCTACACAGGTTGTCCTTTAAAAAATAAAATTACTGACTAGAGAGACTCTTAGTAAATATATCTGCCAACTGAAGACTAGTAGTAACATATTTAACAACAAGATCACCATGAGCCACATGTTCACGATCAATCTGGATATACTTACTTCGAGCATGCTAACAGGATTCGCTGTCAAGTAGGAAGCAGAGATGTTGTCACAGAACAGACGTACCAGTGCCGTGACTGGAAAACCAAGCTTGAATAGGATGGACCAAATATGCAATGTGTCCTGCACCCTGTAGGCAATAGCACGATACTCTGCTTCTGTAGACGATTTGGAAACAGTAGGTTGCTTCTTGGACTTCTAAGACAGCAAATTGGGCCCAAGAAAAACAGCATAACCAGTGGTGGAGCGAGAAGTATCAGGACACCTAGCCCAATTTGCATTTGAGTATGCCATAATGCAAGTCGCCTTAGGTGTAGGTTGAAGCCACAGACCATGATCAATGGTGCCCTGCAAATATCTAAAAAACCTATTGACAGCAAAAAGGTGACTGGTGCGTAGGACATGCATAAATTGAGAGACTAAATGCATAGCATAAGTAATATCAGGTCTTGTCAAGGTTAAATACTGCAATGCATTTACCATACTGTGATACTCAGTCGCATCAGCAAGTAGCTCGCCATCAGTGAGAGATAAGGAAGTACGAGACGCAAGAGGAGTACGGACTGACTTTACAGTGTGTAGATGAAACCGGGAGAGAAGGTTAGAGACATTTATGCTGAGAGAGAAACAAACCTTTACCATTACGAACGGCTTGAATGCCAAGAAAATAATGATGGTCACCCAAGTCTTTCATGGCAAACTGGAGAGCAATAAGATGAATGAATGCAGTGACAACAGAAGAGGAATTTCTAGTAATAATAATGTCATCCACATATAATAATAAATAAATAATCGAAGTGCCCTGGCGGTAAATGAAAAGGGAGTTATCTGACTTACTACATAAAAAACTATGAGAAAGCAGGAAACTACTGAACCTATGAAACCACGCGGGGCCAGCTTAAGACCATAAATAGCCTTGCGCAGACGACACAAGTGATGAGGATACTGAGGATAAATAAAACCCCGCGGCTGACGCATATAAACCTCTTCTGTAAGATGACCATGAAGGAAAGCATTTTTGAAGATAACTGTGCAGTTAAACAGTGCAGTACTTTTCAGAAAATCATTTGACTGTCTTCCCGATTGAATTGTTATCTGAAGTTTGGTATGAGTAAACTAGACTTAATGAAAAAGATGCTCAACAAATTAAATCAAAAAATTCCATCGGGAACTGTCTCAATTGACGACGACCGTCAGAGCCTCCTATATAAGGGGTCAATTGCACTTGTTAAGTTACTTCGAGGGCCTATTTGATCCTTTAGCCTTTTCTACAATAGCCTTGTGTACGATATTTAAGAGTGAAATAATAGCAGTAATGAATAGCGTTGAAAAAGTATAAGAGCGTATAAAAGTATGAAAAAAAAATAAAAGTAGAAAAAGTAAAGCTAATTGAATATTGTTAAACGAAAAACTTACCAAAAACAAAAAGGGTAGCAAACTTTTAAATGCATCCAGAAAAGGAAAGTGTAGCAAACTTTCAAATACATCCAGAAAAGGAAAGTGGAGCAAACTTTAAAATATAGAGAGAGTAATTGTAAACACGATTTGTACATTTTTTTTGTATAAACCCCTAATTGTGTTAAAGTATTTGTGTCAAACCTGGAAAGTTATAAAATAATACAGAGTAACACATTATATAAGATTTTGGGTTACTCATCTTT